TTTCTTCAGCAGTACCCATCTCCACAGCTCCAAAGCACTCGCTCCATGCCAGGTAGGCACAGGGCAGCCTGAAAGCCCGTCTCCCTGGCTGTGTCGACACATTGTGCTAGCCATGACTCAGCCCTCAGTGGGGAACCCCGGGGGAGCCACAGCCAGCTGGGACAAGCTGACACAGGCCAGTCCCTGTCTGCACCAGGCAGGGAGCACCATGGCAGCCTGTGGGAACCAGTCGACGTCTATCACAAGGCGCCTCCTCACGGAGACCCTGCAGCAGCCAGCAAGCTGAGATTCCTCTGCCAAGCAGGGGCAGATATAGGGCGGGGCGGCCGCCCCGGGCCCCGCGCTTCAAGAAGCCCCGCGCATGCGCCGTGGCAAAGGGGGACCCCGCGAAATTGGACTGCCCTGGGCCCCGCAAAATGATCATCTGCCCCTGCTGCCAAGAAAGGGTCATCTTTCTGCCCCCCCCCCACCCAACTTGACAAAGCATCAGCAGCCTCCACCTACCTTTGTCCAGACAATGGTGGGGGCAGGAACTCCACTGGCATTACAAGGCAGGGCTACAGCCACCCCCTCGTCGGTGGTGTAGAGCGCAGGGCTTGGCTGAATGCTGGGTGGAACTGTAAAGAGAGAAGCACCCACCTTAACACTGCTTGAGAACAGCAGTGCAGGATCAGAGCTCAGGGCTCAATTTCCAAGTGCTGCACACTCGCAGCGCCAAGAGATCTCAGCGCCCTCTTAGCCACCTAATCCAGGTCAGAGCTGTGAGCATGCTCAGCAAATAGTAGCTCCTGTGGCGAGTGGCCTGGTTTTCGAGGGAACCCAGGTCCCTTTCAAAAGGCCATGCCAAGGCCTTTGGAAAATCTGGCTACTTATGGGAGGACAGCTTTCGAAAATAGCTCAGCTCTCCTGGCCAGACGTGCCCACACAGGAGAAGAGCGCTTCTGAAAATCTAGCCCCAGCTAGGAGCGTGGGGCCCTTCAGAGAATTCCACCCTTAAAGCTGAGCTGGTCTAGGCAGCATGGCCAGCCCCATAAGCCTCACTACATTCTGTACGTCCATGTCTTTCAGTTAACTCATCTAGGAGTTTTACAGGTCCCCAGTTTGCTGGAGTCAGTGAGCCACCACAGTCTACTTGTTCAGAACCGAATCCACTTTTCCAGGCTAGTCAGATGTCCCAGAGCTGCCCAATAACAGGAATTGTCCTAAATTACTTTAACTTTACAGCTCTGTAACTTTCTGGCTCAGGGGTGTGAAAACACACACACCCACACCCGAGCGCAGCAAGGTACAGCGCTATCAAACACCAGTGTGAACCAGGCTGCAGTGCTGGGAGCCGCACTCCCAGTGCTGTGACTCCCCTCACAGAGGTGGTTCGCATGCAGCGCTGGCTCGTGCCATGGCCATGCTTTCAGTTTAAAGTGCTGCCCCTGACAGTTGCTACGGAAACCGGCTCTAACAGCACAGGTTCTGCTCACCTTGGGTATGTCTAGACTACATGCCTCTGGAGACCGCCCTGGTACACCTCATCCCACAAGGCATAACGAGGCGGTTGACAAATGCCTTTGATGTCGACTGCGGAGCATCCAGACTAGCGCGCTGAGCCGACAAACAGCTGATCAGTTCAGCGCGGCGGCCATTTTACTTTAAATGAAGCAGCGATTATTTAAATCACCGCTTCATTTTCCTATGCCGGGTAGCCTAATCTAGGGCACGTAGTCTAGACATAGCCCTTGAGATAGAATAACTGCTCCTTTAAGTCAGTGGCAAGAGCCAGGCCTCTCCCAAAAGGCTCCGGGGTGCTCTGCAGGAAACTGGCAGAGGAGGTGTGCACCCAATATCCAGCACAGCAGCCACCTGCACACACTGTGACACAGCAGCATGCAAAGCCGACACAGAGATGTGCAGTCTGTAAAGCCCAGATCTAACCCGCTCACCGTGGATGACGAGAGTCACGTTTTGACGGTGAAAGCCAACAGTGTTGGTGACCACACAGGTGTATTTCCCAGCATCCTCCTGGAATGCCGGGTCTATATGGAAACTTCCGTCTGCGCGTACAGAATGGCGACTGCTTGGTATGACCTGGGAACAAAGAGAAACCATGAGTCAGGATTGATGGTCAATTCAACAAGCATCACACACTTGTCCTTCTGCCTTCAGAAAATATATAAGGCCAGATCCCCAGCTGGTACCAACTGGCATGACTCCATTGATTTTAACAGAGCTGTGGCAATTTGCACCAGCCACAGTTCTGGCCCTCTGACAAACTGGAGGGAGCTCAGAGAAACCAACACCAGGGGGTTGCAAAGACCTGGGGGAGATGAACGGAGCGCAGTAGGGGTACGTCTACACTACATGCCTCTGTCGGCAGAGGCATGTAGATTTGTTTATTCAGCAAAGGTAAATGAAGCCGCGATTTAAATGATTGCGGCTTCATTTACATTTACATGGCTGCCGCGCTGAGCCGACAAACAGCTGATCAG